ACAACACACCTTATCCCTTTTTATGAAATAGATAGTCTATTTCCAAGAGACCTCGGCTCAAAGACAATATTGTGATAAGTAAGCTATTTTTAAAAGCACATAAATGGTGATCAAAATGGTATTTGAGTAACATGCCCATTTAATCATTTTTCTAATAAAACTTTAAGTGTGTTTTAAAATATGGACCGAGGGCTTGTTCTCTTCATCTTATCTAATTGGTTCTCATCTGATTCGATCAAGTCCAGATTATCTGATTGTAGTTTTGTTTAAGGTTGTTTCTGGTCTGATCTCATATGATTCCAATAAGAATTAGTAATAAGCAAAAAGAATAAGTTGAAGAGAACAAGCATTGAGGCCTTCAAAGCTACCATTTCCAAAACTCTCCGAAACCCGCCATCTAAAAAGACCCTTAGGCGCCCTAGTGGCGCCTAACTAGGCACTGAGCCTATCTAGAAAGAAATAGCTATCTGGGGCGGTAAGCACTTAGAGGGTGCCAAGGGGGTCGATGGCTACTAGTCACACTTTTAGGGTCCATTTGGAACTCAAAAAATACTAGGGAAAGAAAGAAATGAGTAAATTTTGAGGGGAAAGTTATTTGGTAGAGAATAAGAGATACATTCAAACTTAACAAATTTGCTTCGGAAATTTATGAAAATCCATTTATTAGTTTATTTCTATTATTCAAACACTCAATTTTAAGTATGTGTGAAGAATTTAAAACTAATCACATTCATAATTTCATATTCCTTTGTTTGCCAATGTAGAACCAAATATTAAAGGATATCTGGCATTTCCCTGCTTTTTCCTTTTACTAGCATTTTCCGGGATCAAACATGCCCTTAGATCAGAGAGCTCAATGAATACCATAGTTAATGTTGGTATTTTTTTTAAATAGCAACACTTGCATGTCATGATATAACTTTTATGTTCATCATTTGCTTTACTTCATAATGATTTGTTTTTTAAAACAGGTCCTTGTGAGAAATGTTCCTCCAGATCCTGATGAATCAGTCAGTGAAACTGTGGAACATTTTTTCCTTGTTAATCACGATCATTATTTAACCAGTCAGGTCTAATCTCTTTTCCATTACTTACACATATTTTTTGTGCTTTATTATGTTAATTCAGTATAATTTATTCTTAAGACACAAGATCTTCCATCTTATCTCACAAGAGACCTCTGCAGGTTGTATATAATGCAAACAAACTTGCAAAACTGGTTGAGGAAAAGAAGAAGCAGCAGAATTGGTTTGATTACTACCAGTTAAAGTATTTGAGAAGCAATCAGTCGAAACGCCCAAGAACCAAGGTATTACAGATGGGCGAAAGAATGAATACCTATGAATTTTAAGCGGCACTCTTTTTCTTGATTCGGTTATCTAAAATACATAGTTTAATTTCATTCATGTCTGTGTTTTTGAACTTGCAGACTGGTTTTCTTGGTCTCTGTGGAACTAAAGTTGATGCAATCGATCACCAGACTGCTGAAATTCAAAGATTATCGAAAGAAGTAACTACTAATGCTTTAGATTATTATATTTATATAACAAAACACTATATCTGTCCCACACAAAAATATGCTTGTATGTAATTGCACTAGGATTAAGAAATGGTTGATAAGTTAGTTGGAATATTAAAGTTTATTGCATTTCCGATTTTTACACTATTCTAAAGTTAATGAATTACTCTAATCTTTGAACTTTGGGAATATAAAATAAAGTAGGGGTGAAGTTTGAAATAGAAAATGAATTAGGGTAAATGTTGAAATATAACATTAAATGCACACCCAATATATAGAATCTAGACTACTACGGTATCTTTTTCATACAAACCACAATGGAATAGATGCTAATGTTTTTGGGACGGAGGGAATACCAACTACCACAAATTCCACCGTTCTCGATTACCTGTCTATGAATTAAAGTCATTTGTTCAGAGGTAACTGTCCATTTAGGAATCTAAAACAACAAACCCAGTACAATCCCAGAAGAGTAAGGTCTACAGCTGTCCATTTAGGAATCAGGAATCTAATAAAGTAAAATGTGATAAAAATGACTGTTGCATTCACATATTCATTTCACTTTTGCTTGTTACTTTTAATACCTAGAAATCATTTGGGGGTGGGAATTTATGACAAAGTAATTATCACCTAAAAACCCACGATTTCCCCCTTAATAGACAACTATTTGAGAACAAAGTGAGTAGCTATGAGCAAAGTCTAAAACAATGTCTTTAAGATGGTCAATACTTGAGCACTAAAACTACCTTTCATGCTTCATTGCATCGGATAGTACTCAATAATTATCCCTTTACATGTTTGTTCACCACTTTTCCTTCTTTTGATTTCATCGTTCTTCTAAGTGTTGTCCTGAATGTAGATTGAGGAAGAGCGAGAGAGGGTTAAAAATGACACAAAAGCTATAATGCCAGCAGCGTTTGTCTCCTTCAAAACAAGATGGGCTGCCGCAGTATGTGCACAAACACAACAATCAAGAAACCCAACGTTATGGCTTACAGAGTGGGCTCCAGAGCCCCGTGATGTGTACTGGGAAAACCTGGCGATCCCATATGTTTCGCTGACCATTAGGAGGCTCATCATTGGGGTCGCCTTCTTTTTCCTCACCTTCTTCTTCATGATTCCCATCACATTTGTCCAGTCTCTTGCTAACATTGAAGGAATAAGAAAAAAGGCTCCATTTTTGAAGGCGATCTTTGACATGTACGTAATGCATCTCCCAGAAATAAACACTCGTATGTTTCTCTATTAGGGACGGAGGGCGTCTTTTGTTTTCGATGTAGATAAAGATCTTATTTTGTGTCAACATACTTCTTGCTCATTAGTATTGCCACCTGACTTTGGTGCAGGCCTTTTATCAAGTCATTCATTCAAGGCTTTCTACCAGGCATTGTGTTGAAGATCTTCCTTATACTCCTGCCAACTCTATTGATGTTCATGTCCAAATTTGAAGGCTTCCCAAGCTTATCATCATTGGAGCGACGGTCTGCTTCCAGATATTATATTTTCAACTTCGTGAACGTTTTTCTTGGCAGTGTTATTGCTGGAGCTGCGTTTGAACAACTAAACACCTTCCTCCATCAGTCCGCAAACGAGTATGTCATGCCAACATATAAGTTTCCTTTTTTTCCACTTTATTGGTTTATTGTTCAAGCGGATGAAATAGAAAGAATAGTCAGATACCTTTTTCAGAAATGCAAAACGCTGTCGTTAGATAACCTTTTCAAAAATGCTGAAGCAGTTGTCAAACGGGCACTTATTGTTCACTTCCAGAGAGTCATTGTTCTGAGTGCTTTGGTGTTGTGCAGGATCCCTAAAACCATTGGTGCTGCAATCCCAATGAAAGCGACATTCTTCATAACCTACATAATGGTCGATGGGTGGGCGGGAGTCGCCGGGGAGATTTTGAGGTTGAAAGCATTGATAATCTTCCATCTCAAGAATAGTTTTTTGGTCAAGACCGAAAAGGACAGGGAAGAGGCCATGAATCCGGGGAGCCTTTGTTTCAATGTTGGGGAACCCCGAATACAACTCTACTTTTTGTTAGGCCTTGTCTATGCCGTTGTCACCCCCATCCTTCTCCCCTTCATCATCATCTTCTTTGCCTTGGCTTACGTTGTTTTTCGACATCAGGTATACTATATATTACTCCCTTCGTTGCTAATTAAAGGGGGTATTTCTCTGTGTTGGTGCTTATTGGCTTAGGGGGTACTTCTTTGTGCCGGTGCTTATTGGTTTTTTGCTGATAAGGAGTTTTAAACTTATAAGCCAAATATTCTTTCGTGGAAGTAAAATGACTTAAATGACAGATAAGTCATTTGAGAATATTCATAAACGGTGAGGGACAATTTTATAAATAATCAGGTCAAAACAGGGAAACGAAAAAACTGCTTAAAAATAAATAGGTAAAACCTACTTATTTTTTCTGACGTAAGCGCAGAATACATGTCATCAGCTGACTTATAATTTAAAAATAACTTATAAGCAGTTTTGACAAGCTAATAAGCATAGAGAAACACACACAAAATCACTCTTGACTTTGCGGCGTTTAAGTGTTCACTCTTTAAATAGATGTGATAAATGCAAAATTACTTTTGGGACGTTAAAAATGGAAATAATGACTTTAATTTAAGGAACGAGGGAGTAAATGATATAAAATCACAATTTTTTTAATTTTCCGTGTTGCAGATCATAAATGTGTACAACCAAGAGTATGAGAGTGGAGCAGCATTCTGGCCAGACGTCCATGGACGCATAATATTTGCCTTAGTCTTCTCTCAGTTCTCAACATTGGGATTGTTGAGCACAAAACGCGCTGCACAGTGCGCGCCATTCCTTATTGCCCTCCCGATACTAACCATCACATTCCATTACTACTGCAAAGGCCGCTATGAATCCGCTTTCACCAAACTTCCATTGCAGGTATTCATAAAAAGGAAAGTACTACTTTAACCCCAAGAATGACACCAAAGTTGACACCATTAGAGAGACAGTCATGTTCTCTATCTCTATACAAACTTTTTCATTCTTTAGAGAATTATACTATAATGGGGATGACATTTTGGTGGGTTCTGCAGGAAGCCAAGATGAAGGACACTTTAGAACATGCAAGGGAACCTCACTTTAACTTGAAGGGGTACCTTAAAGACGCTTATGTCCACCCGGTCTTCAAAGGCGAGGACGACACGTACGGGTACGACGAAACCAGTGAAAAAGGAGACATAGAGGAGGGCGTGGTGGTCCCCACCAAATGCCAGTCTCAGCGAACCATGCCCGCCCCCAGCAAAGGCAGCAATGGGTCCTCACCTAGTTGAGTTAGGTTTGCTAACAAGGCTTTTGTAAAATATGTGTAAAATTAGATGTGTTTTCCTTCAAAGTATTGTAAATGGATAAAGCTATCTGTACCCCATTTTGTGCATCACAGGGATGCATCAACATTTTGTGTTGGTGTAATGCTAATTTTTGTTAACGTACCAACACTTTGTGTCAGTGTAAATTTTTGTTAATGCACCAACACTTTGTGTCAGTGTGAATCATCAAAATGTTGGTACATACCTTTGGTGTACAAATGGGGTACAAATTTTGAGTACATGTAGCATGCTCCATTGTAAATTGTAAAATCAAGTTGTCCAATACAAAATGTGGGCCTATACTAAGACACCAAAATGGAGAGGAACATGTTGTATGTGTCTAGTAAGGGCATCGACTAGAAGAGGCGGTTGTCGTTCGTCTGAACGCCGTGTGTGACCGGAGCTTTTGCTCTCACTCTTCTAAAGTACCATACTCCCATCCCTACTCCCACCGCCACCACCACCGACACGGCTATTGATACTCCGGCTACTGCTGCTTTAGAGATTTTATGCTCAATATCTGCATATAATTTTCGGAGTATACATAGGTCAATATTTGATGATCAAAATATAAGAATATGGATTACTCTTCTCATTAATCTTTATATATAAAATTTGAGAGTTGGGCTCTCAGAATTGTGACATGTGGCATGCTGACTAGACAATTTTTTAACACCTCAGCGGCCATGTCAAGAGCATTGTTTAGAAGTTTTATTCTACGTGTTTTACGGATGGCCAGAGATTCTTCAGGCTTACCATCTTGCGCTAGATCAGATCTACAATTTTTTATTCTGGGAAATAAGCTTACCATCTTACGCTTACTATTCTACAAAATTTCTTCTCTGCAAGATCTGGCAATTTCAATTCTTTATCTTAATTACAGCGTCTCTTTTTAAAATTTAAAATACCAGTTTTTAATTAACTTTACTAAAAGTTTATTAGTGTATGAAAGTTTATAATAAATACTCCCTCTATTCACAATTTTTTTCTATTACGATATTTGACAGATATTTATTTTAATTCATTTTATATAATAATTTATATGAAATTAAATAATAAAAAATGCATATTTAAAAAATAAAATTTTAATAATGATAAATTAATGTTTAAAATTATTTTCGTATAAAGATAATGTGTTTAGATTAGCGAAATATTAGCATAATATACATAAAATTTAGGATAAACAAAGAATTTATTATTTTTGTAAGATTCATCAATAATTTATCTTTTATGATATAATAACATAAATTATGTAATAAAATAAAATTAGTGAAGCATAAATATAGTATTGCATAAAATATAATTACTAACGGAAAAAAGAAAAGTTCCTTTTTTTACAAATAAAACTTTGAGCAAAATTTTTAGTATAATATTTCTGCTCGGATTTCAATTAAACTTAAAAATCAGTATATTATTATATGTTATTTTTGAATAAATTATAGAATAAAATCGAACAAAAAATGTGTCACCACGACATATTATATTTACATTAACATTATTTATGATTTCAATATTAATGTGTTAATTTTATTATGCAATAAAGATCACCGCTTTTATTAGAATATAGTTTATAATTTTATATTTGTTCTCTTCATTTATAATAAATTTTTTAAAAAATAAATAAGATTTCCTTTCTTAATAAAATATGTTTTATTAACCTCTAAGAACTTCATTGTTGTGTGTGACATGCTTAAATAAAGTTATTTTTTATTCTATTTCTTTCAATAATGATCTACAATTTAAAAAAATATTTTAATCTCTATAATAAAATACTACAAATGACTAGACTATTTTTTAAATGATCAATATTTAAACTAAACATTTTTTAAATTGAATGATTTTGTATTCGAACAAAAAACAAAAAAAATTGAATAAAAAACTATCAAATGTTTTTGTTAATTACTTTTCAGAATCATAGGAGTACTAATATTTTTAATTTTAATTTTTGTTAACGAATGCCGAGGGTATAATAATTTGGGTTTCAATGGTTTTTTAAATTAATTTTTTTAATCATAGTATTCCTTATCGAAGATTATGCTTTTTGAATAATACAGGGAGAAAATAATCATAGAGAGAATTTTTTTAATCAATGTGATTGAGGAGAATCATATTAATGCGGGAGAGTTTTTTTTCACTAATAAAAATTAATACGGCGATGCGGAATAAAAAAAATTATATTCTTTGAATTATAAGATCGATACTCCAGTTTTGAATTAATGAATTGAATTAATTATAGGATCACTAATTTTTGTAATTAATGGAAAAATCACATTTTTAAAAATCAATACAAGGGAAAAGAATTATATTAATGCGTGGAGATTAATCATTTTTATCGAACCTAAATTAATGCGGGCAGGGGGGGGATCATATTTTTCATCCATCAATGATGGTTTTATAAAAATTGAGTTTATGAATGAGAATAAATGTTTGGGCTTATCTTAAGCCAAAAAATAATTCAATTTGAAGAAAGTTGTACCCATTTGTTATTGAGGAAGACTGATTAACCATATAAATTATGTAATAATACTAGGTTAATCGTTGAAGACTTACAAAAATTAACAAATTCGTAGAGAAGGTTACATAGCCTAAATGTATTATGTTCATTTCATATAAGATTACCCTTGAAGTTAAAACAAAATACAGTTTTCAAAAGTTTATGGTTCGTCATGATTATAGTTAAAAGTTAGGGCCAAACATTGTTATTTATAGGATTATATTTTATCAAGTCGGCATTCACTAACGGTTAATTTAATATTGATGTTACAAGAGTGAGAGTAAAAGTAGAGTTAAAATATTAATTTTAAATGCCTTTAGTAGTCTTTATAACATTATACAAAAAAGAAATCACCGTAAATTGAAGTAAGACATCGAGAAAGTACACAAATAGGATCTCAATAGTTTTGTCCCCAAAATAGGAATTCGCAGTGTGGTAATGTGACACTGTGTATGAGCATTTCACTATATTTTTGTAATGTATAAGGTCATGAATAACATTGTAAATGTATTTTAACTCTTATTTCAAAATAAAACCATGAAACTCCTTTTTTTTATATTTTCAATATTTTACTCATACTTTAGTTTTTTTTCTCTATACAAAAATATTGTATACCTCATAGTTTTTCGAATTGATCTAATTTAAACAAGAGTTTGACATATTAGTTTTTAAATGTGTATAGTAAAATTATCATTAGTAAATGTTATTTATCATTATTTTAACTTTTAAGGTCAATGTTTTATATTGACGAAATCTTCCTTAATAGGCGTTAAAAAAAAAAATTTAAAATACTAAAATAGGAGTCCTAAATTTTTTTAGACAAAAATAAGAGTATATTGGCAATGTGCTGTTAGAGGTACACATTGCATTGTGATGACAGTGTAATATATGGGTGTGATCAGTCAATTATCAGCGATCCGCGGCGGCATTCTAGTGGCCGGTGGCGTCAGATGGGAGTGTGGCGGCGGTAGTGCGGCAGTTACAATGTAAGAATTTGGTGAGTGCTAAAGTGTAATAAAGACATTGTGAACTCATACTTTGGTCTTAAAATATTTATGACTTCTATTTTGGTATTTACATAGTTGTTTACTCATATCTATTTTATTCTCTCTTTATTTTGTTCGATTTCCGAAAATTGTTTTAGCAGAGAAATATTACAAATTTCAAACAAAAAATTTGTTTAATCCCGTGCGTGACACGGGTTAAAATGCTAGTTAAAATATAAATGTGAACAACGGATAGACTGTCAAGTAAAATTAATCACATGCTTATAAATGTGGGATTTACCGCCTAACTCAAATGTTTAAGCTGATAGATAGAGTTTTGCTCTTCTATTTATGTTAGTGATATTTCTCTTGGTTTTTTAAATCTCGGAAATCCCAACAAAATTTTTACACTTATTTCTTCGTATCAGTGTATTCGTTCAATGTGATTTTTTAAGTAATTGAATAAATTTTAATCATCAATTACCCTCAATTTGTATTTGCATATTAATACTATCGAATAAAATTTTGAAAATTGTCAACAAGATAAATCTAATGAGTTTATAGTTATACTAATATACATTAAAATTGTCATTCAATTGAGATCTAAAGTACATCTAATTTAATTCAAAAAAACTAAAATGGACGTATTTAATAGAAGGGGATCATTTGTTTATTATTCAATAATCAAACTAAATCTTCTTTCTATATTATGTCATCTTTGATTAAATAAAAGTAATATAATCATGTCACTTTTTTATTTATTCATTCATTCTTAACTGATATCACAAGTTTAATCTTAGATTAAAATCACCAATCAAAGAACTTACCATGACAATTAGTGGTGCTATTTCTTTTGTGACACAAGCAGAGGAAACTCTGGTTCTGAGTATCGAACCCACAAGTCCCGCCGCCCTTGCCGCCGCCCTCGCACTCCAAGCACTTCGCCGTCACCGGAATTTCAAAATCCACCCGCACCCCGTACTCCGGCACCTGGCTGAACGCCGCCCCCGCCTTGCCGCCGCCACCGCCGATGTTCTTCCAGTAAACGCCGGTGTAGGCGGCGCAATGCCGCAGCATTATCCTCAGCGACTCTGCCGCCTCCGGGTAGTAGGCGCAGCAAGATCCGCCGCGCAGCGCCCCAGGGCACTCCGGGAGGTTCCTGCACAGGAAGCTCCCGCTGTCGCACACGGAGTCGCACTCCTCCGGGAACCGGCGGCAGAAATGCGGCTTCGATTCGACGGCTACCTGAAAATAATGGGTTTGAGTTCAATTTTTTGATATGATTCAATTCCAGTGTTATCATACCTTGTGGAGTGATCTAGGAGTATATCTTTTCATAAAGATGAATTTACCTAAATATACTACTCCGTAAAATATAGTGACTTTCCCAATGTAATACTCCGTACTATATGTTTTTATTTTCCAATGTAATACTATTGTCCAATGTCCATTGATCATTGTTCTAGTAAATATCCAGCGTCACTGAACATTGTTCCCGTCATTAGACATCATTCAAGTACCATTATTCAAGTACCATTTGGAGAATAAATAAATTTAGTTCAAATTTCACTTTCATAAATTAATACACTCGTCCCATAAGAAAACCTCACCTTTAACTTGGCATACACGTTAAAAAAATTAATTTGTATGGTACAAAATGATGCAAATGAAAGAGAAATTATAAAAGTAATTAATTTATTTTCAAAAATGGGAAGTGAATTTTTTTTAGGAACACACACAAGAAAATGTTGAATTTTTTATTTGTCGCTTCAAGTATTACCCATGAGACCATATTTTTTTTAATTGAGTGGCCGTGAGTTCGAACTCGTAATCTCTTATTAAAATCTATTTGACAAAAAAAGATTAACATAAGAGTAAAACATGAAAAAATATTAAAATTAGAGCTTCATGTTTTTATTCTCAAAATAAGAGTATAATATCAATAATATCAATAAATAGTACTCCCTTCGTCCTATATCTTTCTTCCCGTTGCGCAAAATGAAGAAAAATCCCAAATTTTTTCAATCTATTTTATTTGAATATTGGTATAGAAATAAAAAATAAAACATACATATTTAAAAACTACATCAAAAGTTCAACAAAATAAGTGGTGAAAAGAATATTTTATTTTATCATATAGGCCATGAAAAAACACAAATAAATATAAATTTTCGTGAAATTGGAATAGTGCTCTGGGAAGAAAGTCTTAGGATGGAGGGAGTATTATAAAGTACAATGAGATGTCACGTAATGTCACTGTACATTGTCATAATGTTAAAGTCCAAAATCCTATTTTGAGGGAAAAAGTATATACTTTTATTTTGAAAAAAAAATACTACTCCATTCGTTTTCTAAAAAAGTTCTTGTTTTGTTTTGGGAGAAATTTAATTTCATAGTTTGATCTTCTAATTATAATCTTATTATCGAAGAAATTGAATGGAATATACTGTAAAAACTTAATTTAGATATATTAGCCATTTTTTTACAAAAATGGAAATGTTTTTGGGAAAATGAAAGAGAGACTATTTTAAGGAACGGAGGGAGTATATTTTACTCCTATTTGACACAATTTCTTAAAAGTTTAATATCATGTCAAATAACAAATTCAACAAGTTAAATATTTTGGGCACGTGAAAGATTTTAATATTCTAATAGTACCTCGTCGGTACTGCAATTGAAGAAGAGGTACTCGGTCTCCGGGGAGAGGGAGAACCGGGTGCTGGTGTCGAGGCTGAAGGGCCGCGGCGGCCGGAAACGGCCGCCGTCACGGCAGCTCCACATGAAGGGGTCGGAGATGACAATGTGCGGGTCGTCGCCGGAGTAGGTGACGTTCTTAATGGGGTACTTGCCGGAAGGGGTGAGGAGCTGAAGCTCGCCGGCGGCGGTGCACTTGACGATGCGGCGGTAGTATGGGCTGCCGCAGCCGTCGTCGACGCCGAATGGGTACTGAATCGGAACTCCGCCGCATGATTTCCGGCAGAGCTTTTGTTGGGATTTTGCAAGGTGGAGATATTGTGGAAATAATATTAGCAAGGAAAAAGGGATTATGAAAGATGAATAAGCCATAATTAGTAAAGACAAGAAGGATAAGTAAATAAGGCTATAATAGAGGTTTTATTTTATTTTTTATTTTGCCTATACAGGTAGGATATGTATATATGATTCAAAAAGCAATGGCATAATGATTATATTCTTAATTAAGAGAATGAAGAATCTATCTCTTTTTCTTTTTTGTCCTACTAATTAATATGTTTCATGTACTTTTGCTTTTTTTTAAAAAAAAATATAAATTTAAATACAAATTATCTCTACAGAAGTTTAATATTGATGTTTGCTACTTTTTCTTTTGCTTTTCCTTTTTGTTGCTTTAGAATTGGATTAACTTTGGGTCAATCTTATGTGGCACCAAACTCTTATAACATCTCTTGTTCTCGCAATTGGATTGACTGATTTTTTTGAATAATGGAATTATTTTATTGCTCGAAAAATAATAGAGTACTTGTCACGAGTGGAAGCTTGGAAATAAGAATCTGAAACTGCGGAGAAGATATGATCTTCTTCATGAAGAAGTCTGCTAGAAGTCTACCTCCTTTTAATAAGAGCTTATATACCGATTATTTTAATCAACTCACTTGCAAATGAACTCCCATTCTCTTGACTTTTTTTGAGCGGCAACACCTAAAGGACCACGAGCCGCTGGGTATGGACCTCCAGACGAGCAATCGTGTTAAACGGGCCACAGGTCGTTGGGTACATACTTCATACGGACAACTGGGCTAAAGACAAACGAGGTGGGCTAAAACTTGCTCAGATACCATGATAGAATTTTAGGATGGGGTATGAACAATTGGATTGGGTAATAAGACACTTGGGCTGAACCACATTAAAAGATTGAATCCAATCAATTAGTTAGTTAATTAACCTCAAGAGCTTATATACCGATTATTTTACTCTTGAACTTCCGATGTGGGATGCACTTTAACAGTTTCTTTAATTTTTTTCTCTTTTTGGGCAATTCTTTTTCTCTACCGCTTTTCATGTTCTCTGATGACACATGAATTTTTTTATAGAGAGAGAGGGAGGGAGATAAATTAAAGGACGAAGGCTATTAGACACACTCATCAAGATCAATGGCAATTTTTAAGCACGCACAATGTTTTTTTTGAAAAGAAAGAGACGGATAATGGACGATGGCTATTGGGCACTCTCGTTGAGATCCGTGGCGGCTTTTAGGCACGCACATTTTTTTGAAGATAAAGAGGGATAAGGGACGACGATGCCATAATCTGTGACGGTTGATCGTCGATGCCATGATCTGTTTTTGGTTCCTATAAATGAATGATTTTTGCTTGTAGTCTCTCTAAAATATTCTTTTATCATCTTTGTAAGATACCCGAGTATTTGTTTTTGCAAGTGGTCGTACACTCGTACCACCAACTTAAAGTTATGTTAATCTGTTAGGGTTTAAAAGAAAAAAACTGCTTTGGATTTTAAACATTTTAGATGGAACAAAAACCAAATCACTAATTTTTTAGGGACTAAAATTAAATTCAATATTAACTCTGAAGGTAAAAGAATTGTGAAAGGACTATTAGCATAATAAATTATTTTACAGGGATGATTTAATAAAAAAATATTTTGAAGAGAATAATAGAAAATGTCACGATTTCAAAAATAATAATAATAAAAAATCTCACTTATTTTACAAGGGCCAAAAACATATTGAACCCATAAATTTGTAGTGTATTTTTAGTGTTTATTGTAAAAAAAAATTAAAAAAATAAAATTAGTAAGCTTATTTAGTTCTATTCGTAAAAACAGCAAAGAGGCTTTCAAAAAATTGTGATGGCCTCAGGCCCAAATCTATTATCTCATTAACTTAAGCGGGCCTGAATTGTAAACAAATAAGACCAATAGACATCAAAAGATGTCTAATACTCCGTAGTAAGTTTGAAGTTTTTTGTCACTAAGGCCCTTTTGTTTTAACTTATTTTCTTAAAATATACTGAGTACGTAGTATTACTTATTCTAATTAAAGTTAAATCAAATCAGATAAAAAATTAGATCACACCAAAAATAATTTTAAATTTTACTAGAATCGGATCATATCATACTAGATCACATCAGATCAGACTAAAAAAATTTAAATCAAGTTTGTACTATAATCAATACGTTCAAACTGGGATATATTCTTAGAATTAGAGTTTTAAAAAGTGAGACTAATATTTAATAGAAAGTCACATTTTAGAACCTCACATGTAGCCAACATTTATGTTGTATAATTTATTCAAATGTTCATTTTTTTGGTTTGAGACCGTCCTTATTAAAAAATGATTGTCTCATCAACGTATTGCTTCATTCCTTTCAATGAATGAAATTGTTAAAGTATAATATAATACTCCCTCCATCCTAATTCTTTCTTCCCAGTTTGACTTTTCCCCATTTTTAATTTTTGGCTAAAATCTACCATTGGTCCTTCAACTTTATCAGTTGTGCACGATTGGTCGTTCGAGTTTCAAAAGTCCATAAACAGTCCTTCAACTTTATGAGTTCTGCATCCTTGGTCCTTCAAGTTTCAAAAGTCCATAAGTAGTCCTTCAGGTACACGTCAGCCCTCCAGATTAAGTCCTTTTGACAGTAAATATTAAAAGTTAAACGAAATACTAGTTTCATATAATACAAGTGAATTCCACTAGGTACGACTACTCCGTATTATATGGAGCTAGTATTCCATTTAGATTTTAATATTTACTGTCAAAAGGACCTCATCTGGAGGGCTGACGTGTATTTGAAGGACTATTTATGCACTTTTAAAACTTGAAAGACCAATCGTGCATAACTCATAAAGTTGAAGGACTATTTATGGACTTTTAAAATTTGAAAGACGAATCGTGCACAATTGATAAAGTTGAAGGACCAATGATGGAGTTTAGCCTTAATTTTTGGCTTTGACTTCAATTTTTACCCTCCTTAAAAAAAGATTTTTTGAATTTTTTTTTACAATCATTCAAAATATAGAGTTAGAAGATAATTGGTGTAAATACATGAGTGTATTAATGTCATTTGTCATCTTTTTTTCTAATGGGAAGGTAGTTTTAGGACGCGGAAAAAGGGGAAGTGTGAAGAAAGTTTTAGGATGGAGGGAATACATTTTTTGGACTCAAAACAACACCATTAACCTTTTGATTGGGTTGGATTTTTGAACCTATAATTACAAACTTAAGTTTTTTTTATGTCCCTCTAATTTGAGAGTGAATGGGACATAATCTCAAGTGCATGAAACCAAGAGTAATTAACTATATATGTTTGTAGTCAACCAAGTGAGGTCATGCATGGATTTTTTTTTTGATGCCATTCTTAATTAAGATTAGGTTTGGAAAACCAATTTTTGGACAATTACGTTTTACCAAACCATGGCCGGCATCAAGATATCATTTCTACTTCGTTACATTAATGACATTGGCCCCGTTTGGCATCAGCATTAGAGATTAGCGTTAGCTTTTTGAAAAAGTTATCCGACGGTAGCCTTTAACGTTAGCGTTTTCAAAATTAATCTGCACCATTAAAATTTTATCCAAAACAATAACGCTAATCGAAAACGCTGTTACCAAACAAAGTCATTGTGTACCTTTTTTGGGACTTATTCCATTCGTCTGATTTGATCTGATCTGATTTTTTGAATATCTGATCTGATCTGTTCTGATTAAATTTGGTCTGATATGATATAATCTGATTACAATAAAAATAAGTAATAAGCAGAAAAAATAAGTTGAATGGAACTTAACTTAATTATTTCAGACTTGAGCTAATTCTAAGCCAAATCAGACTGTGCTATATAGATGCTCCCTCCCTCCCATCATGTAAAAAACTTCTTAGTTTGACTTTTAAAGTATTTAAAAAAATATTGAAAATAAACAAAAATTGTGGTTATATAGAACTGGTTAAGATGAGAGAAAAATTATCTTAACCGCAATTTCTTTTTCTTTAAAAAGAAGGTAAAGTTTTTGTTGGACGAAGAAAAAAGAAAATTGAAAATTTTTTATGAGACGGGAGTAGTACATTTTTAAGTTTTTTTTGCACATACACAAATGTAACAAAAATCATATGGAGTAATAAGAATGGGATTTCATTTTTAGATGCCAGTATAAGATACAGAGTATAACATACTCTATTTGCCTCAGTATATTCATCTTGTTTTACTTTTTAAAAGCAAAATAGATTAATTTTGATCGTCAGAATGATATACCTAAAAGTTATCTTATAGAAAATTATGAAAAATTTATTTTATTTATTAAAACGAGTGAGACTTTGTTTTACAAACCCTAGTTTTTTACTTTCTCCGTCCCTTAATTTTCTTCTCGAATTTACTTGGCATGCTTTTTAATAAAGTGACAAATGCATGGTTGTGATTGGTGTAGAAGAAAGAAAAATGATGAAAACTACTCAACTTTTTCCTTAAAAAGAATTGGAAGACGAAAAAATTTCGAGATAATCTAAATAAGAAGATAATTATAAAACGAATATATATATGGAGTAGAAGGAGCTCACTATAAAAGAGGAATACATACAATATTTAAATTAATTTTTAAATTAAAAAAACAAAAACTGTATTAATAAAATTAGTAGAAATGTTAAATAACATTTTTACTGACGTTAAAATTTAAAATTAAACACAGAAACAAATTGTAAAACAATTCTTCTGTGTATATTATAGGTTCCAATGGCACAATTTACCCTCTTGGTGGAGTTAAATAAATTATGACCCGTTAATTTAGCAATTTTTTACCCATTTCAAGAAATTTAATTAGTAAAGTTAACGCGTCTAAAGTAAATCTCTGGCATAAATCCATATCTAAAATTAATTGAAGCCTTTTCTGAGGGGTTTTAATTTTAACTTTAATGCTAACTTAAATAAATAAAAATTATAAAAATTTCATATATCAAAATGAAGTCAATTTTAATAAATTTACATTATAATAAATATACTTTTTATTATAATTTATAGTCAAAGTTAGCATAAAAGGCAAACTTAGATAATTTTTTGAGTTTTAGTATTATAGTCCTAAAATCACATGTGAAACGCTGACCTATATATTTTTCCATGAACTCATAATTAGATCTCTAGGTTTTA